CCCCCCCCCCCCTAAAACCCTTTTTCTTTTCCCCGGCGAAGGAACCCTCCCCTCTTAAAATTTTTTTTTAAAACCCTTAAAAAAACTGTACCCCTTCAATTTCCCACATTTTTGGGGCCCTTTAATAAAAAAAAATGTGCCTTTACAAAAAAAAAGGGAAAAAAAGATTTGTGAAATTCAATTCAACTTGCGGGGGGGGTTGTATGGCATGGATATGTCGCTCGCATATTGTCCTAGCAATGGTGAGGGATAGGAGGGGGCGGGAGGAGGACGGGGTGAGGAGGGGGGGGGGGGGGGGGTGGGAGATTGGGGAGAGGAATGACTCCCTCTCTCTCTTCTTTTGCTCTCATTCTTCTCCCTCCCATTCGCACTCGCTCTTTAAAACCCTTTTCATGTACCCGGCGAAGAGAAGCTTCCCTCTTCAAATTTTTAGTTATATAGCCTTAAACAACAGTACTGCCTTAATTTACGACAGTTATTGGGGCACTTAATCAAGAAAAAATGGTCATTTACACAAAACAAGGTAAAAATGCTTTTTCAAGGTAGCTGACAGAGACGTTTTTCTAATTATTTTGTTTAAGGAAAAGGAGTTTATCCCGTTATCGCAGCTCAAGACCGAAATCTGTCCTCGCATTTCCGCGCAAGACTTGTTACATGTCTGTGAACTGACAAATGGTAATGCGGGACCCAAACGACAAAAGAAAACCAAACCTCGCGGGCTTGTGATGGATGTGAGGCTTTCAGACGAGTATCCTTTCATACGCTCACCTTTTACAACTCTTTGTAATGTAATGCAAAACTGGTTGCGAATTTCAGTATTGTTTCAGTCTCCCTTGTTGGAGCTTTCCGTTGTTATTTTAAAAAAAGGGCTTGCATTCACTGAACCTTTTTTCCTTTCATTGTACTTACTGTGGATTGGAGCTTCTCACCGAACCTATAGATCATCGCAGCGGCCGAATGCGTTTCCACTGAAATGTTTTATCGCTTGAAAAATTACGAATGGCCCTATTTCGGGAAACTGAACTTTTTGTGTTGATTCTGGGATGAAAAGAAGGAAAGTGTTCCTCCTGAATCTCAAGTCATCTTTATTTGTTTTTTGTTTGTTTTTGTTTTGTTGCGTTGTTGTTGATTTTTTTCGAATACTTGGACTCCTTTCAGGATTATCCTGTATTGTTATGGTACCACAAGGTCTCGTTACTAAGTACCTTGTCAACTCATACGCATTATTGTAATATTTCTAAGGATTTTACCCTTACCATTATATTCCTTGATTCATCTGTTCAATGTAAAGTTTCTCATGTGGCCAGGTAGCTGACAGTGTAAACATCCCTTACAACCAAGCTTTCCTTGAAGAAGGTGGATTGGCGCCCTCAAACGCTGCCAATGTTGTAAACAGCTTCAAAGGAAGAGTTATTGTTGTTGCAGGGAATCGTGCAAACTATCCAGCCAAGGTTTGTCTGTCATCAAGTATTAATTCGCTTCGCAAAACAAAAACTTTGCAAGTGCAGTACGGTTTTTGGTACATTTCTTTGCCATCACTACACAACTACGACGTGAAAGTGCCTAATCTGCGATTTTCACGTTCCCCACAATGCAAATTGTTTTCCGCACAAAATTTTGCATAAGAATTGTTTTCAATTTCTCTTGGGACTAATGATAAATTGAAAACAATTCTTACGCAAAGTTTTGTGGGGAAAACAAATTGCATTATGGGGAACGTGAAAGCCGCAGATTTCACGTTTTGTAAAGGACGTGGATAGAATAAAAGACGACGACTTTCTTGTCCTTTTCCAGAACTTTCAAACAGAGTTTAAGAATTCGACTCCAGAAAAATTTGCCAGCATATGATGAATTGAACGAGATGGAATAAGCGCGAAAAAGTTTGAAGCAGCGCGATTTCAAATCAAATCAAATCAAAAACTTTATTTCGCTTCGAATTTCAAAAGATAGCATCAACTAATGCTAATATCTCCGAAGGAAAAGCAAAAACAAATAGAAAATAAATGACAAAGGTAATTAGAATTAAGTAATACTATATATTATGTACAAGTTAAAGATAATGAAGAAACAAGAAAATTATTATATACATTGTGACTACGGTAACTAGTGATAATTAAAACTAATTACAAAAGGAGCAGCATTTATTATCAAAGCTAATGCTCTTAATTTTTGATTTGAAAACATGTAATGATTTAGTAGTTCTAAGTACCTCTGGGAGCATATTCCAATATTTGCTGGCAGAGTAGCGAAAGGAGGGCAAACCATTTTTGGTTGATTGAACTCTGGGAATACTAAGAGAGTGTTTCACTCTTTAAGTGACGNTTCTTTGCCATCACTACACAACTACGACGTGAAAGTGCCTAATCTGCGATTTTCACGTTCCCCACAATGCAAATTGTTTTCCGCACAAAATTTTGCATAAGAATTGTTTTCAATTTCTCTTGGGACTAATGATAAATTGAAAACAATTCTTACGCAAAGTTTTGTGGGGAAAACAAATTGCATTATGGGGAACGTGAAAGCCGCAGATTTCACGTTTTGTAAAGGACGTGGATAGAATAAAAGACGACGACTTTCTTGTCCTTTTCCAGAACTTTCAAACAGAGTTTAAGAATTCGACTCCAGAAAAATTTGCCAGCATATGATGAATTGAACGAGATGGAATAAGCGCGAAAAAGTTTGAAGCAGCGCGATTTCAAATCAAATCAAATCAAAAACTTTATTTCGCTTCGAATTTCAAAAGATAGCATCAACTAATGCTAATATCTCCGAAGGAAAAGCAAAAACAAATAGAAAATAAATGACAAAGGTAATTAGAATTAAGTAATACTATATATTATGTACAAGTTAAAGATAATGAAGAAACAAGAAAATTATTATATACATTGTGACTACGGTAACTAGTGATAATTAAAACTAATTACAAAAGGAGCAGCATTTATTATCAAAGCTAATGCTCTTAATTTTTGATTTGAAAACATGTAATGATTTAGTAGTTCTAAGTACCTCTGGGAGCATATTCCAATATTTGCTGGCAGAGTAGCGAAAGGAGGGCAAACCATTTTTGGTTGATCGAACTCTGGGAATACTAAGAGAGTGTTTCACTCTTTAAGTGACGTTTTTGTAATCGTCGCTGTCGTTGTTGCTTAAGCTCCCTACCAGCTGACCGGTGCGTCCCCTTACGATTCCAGAAAGAATACGCCACTTCCGAGTTGCCTCAGGCCTCTGTTTCAAAGCGAGGCTAAGTGCGAAGCCATTGACATGAAAATAGAGGTTAAGTATCACTTTTTCGTCAAACGGCAAATGCGAATTTGTACCACGTGATCAAGTCTCCCCTTTACCTGTCGTTTAGTGTTCATTATTTTCTACACATAAATTAGTAGTTTTACGTAATATTTTATCCGTAAGAATTGTTGTGAGCTGTTTTTATCTGCTCATTTTCTATTTTGAGAAATTCTCAACTTGAATCTGACGTTTACCTTTTGCCATATACGTGAAGCTTAAACCCTCTAATGATTTATATACTCATTCAAATAAAACTCATTTTCAGTCAAGAAAAGTTTTGCACTGAGCCTCGTTTTGAAAGTGAGACTTTGGAACATTGCGGGACACAATTCGGCTCCAGGTTCCTTGCTTCGAAAGTGGCGAATTTTTGCTTTTGTTCAGATATCTGTGGGCGTTAGCCCAAAATATATTTAGGTATTTGTGCAGAAAACTAAACTTTGTATCATAAGTGTGGAAATTCTCTCCTTTTTTTTTCCTTTCTATGCTTGCAACACCAATTCTGTTTCGGTTTTAAAATAGTACGTCTGGTTAATTAACATAATAAAGTATTATTTTTTGTGGCAGGTTGGAGCAGAACTTGTTAAGCTTGGATTTCCCAAAGTCTGTGTGTTAGAAGAAACAGGACTTACTACGCTGCGTACAGAAGGATACCTCACTGTTCCTACGTGATATTAGAATCACTCAAAGTGTCCCCAATCAAAACTTTGTGCGAGCACCTGGGATTTTCGCTTCTGAACACTTGCTATTGCTAAGAAATAATGACCATGTTCCATTAAAACTTTTGGTGTTTAGTAAGACATATAAAAGAGGTGTCCAAAACAAACGAAAAACAGTGGATCTGTTGGACAAACATTTCACAATTTACAGCGAGTCTGAGACGTCTATAAAACTATTGAAAAATGTCTTCTTTGCTGTTATCTTCTTCCATTGTAAAAAAAATAGTAGATAGTTACTTTATTCGACTTAGAATTTATAAACATGACACGTATTTACAATGAAGCTGTGTATAGAAATAATCAAATGATGATGATAATGAAATACAAAAATTGGAAAAAAAATCACGAAATAACATTTTCAGAGTGTGTCATTAGCGGCTGTTTGTGAACAAAATGATGTATAGCCTGAACATAGCACGCGCTTGGAAGAAATGGACGTAAGAAAGAACGGAACGCGCAATAGCCTCCCACGCGTACTTTCTTAGGGATTCGTCACGCGTTTTGTCTGCCTTGCGCGCTCTGTTCTCTCTTGCGCCCGTTACTTCCAAACGCCTGTCATGTAGGCTAAGTGATGTAAAAGGAGGTTAACGAACGCCCGGTCTCGCTCCTACCGTTTTTTGTATCCCAGGCCAAACCCAACATAGTGCAAATTTACACTTGTAAAAATTACGCATTTATTAGCATTGGTGCGAATATCTTACATGTTGCCCTAGCGTGGCTTTATATTCCCCACGCCTGACTCAGGCATTTTGGCACCCACAAACACCACCACCTGCCTCATCCCCACCCTACCCCACCCCACCCTTCTTCCTTTCATGCAAGCTTACTCGACACGACGAGTAAATGAAAATCGCGTGGTCACTGAGCCCAAGCAACCAGGCGTACATGACTACAGCGAAAAAGGGAGAAATTTTGTGGGAGACTTCCCTTTCTCTTAAACAGCTCAATCAGCTGGCTCAGTATTACGATGAGAGGTTTTAACTGTACTTAGAAAACGTTCAAAGCTACAAGAGACAATGCCGGTGAGTTTTTAGCGTACAGCTGTACTTCACATCGAACAACCTGGCCGGCCTTTTCGTTCCGAGCTTTTTAGCTTTATATCGATCGTTAAGCATGTTTGCATTTTAACTCACTTGACAGGTGGACACAGACTCGGACAATGTTCGTGTGGTTGTTCGATGTCGGCCTATGAATGAAAAAGAAGTCGCTAGTTCCTGTTCTTTGGCTGTTAATGTCGACGAAAGTCGGGGAATAATCACCGTGAAAAATCCGAGTGCTCGCACCGGGGAACCGCCAAAACAGTTCACTTATGACAGAGTGTTTGGTGTTGATGCAAAGCAAGTAGATATATACAACGATGCAGCCAGACCAATTGTCAATTGTGTGCTAGAGGGTTACAATGGTAAGACTGCTTTAGCTAGTGGAATGTGTGCTAGTGGTATGACAACCAATATTGCCTTTTCCACTGGGTAGAGACTTATCCGGTGGATAGTGCTATCCAGCGTTTGAGTAGCCTGCATAGCAAGTGTTTCCGTGCAGTTTTGGAGCAAAGAACAAGGAACGAGAGTCAAAGACCGCACAAAAAAGGGGCGAGTAAAAGAGCAGGGATGGGGTGGAGAATAAAGGAAGGAAATGCTTGCAGACAAAACCCAGGATTTTGAAAAGCGACCACTTGGCCTGTCAGGCCTGATTGTAGCCACCAACATTTAATGCTGTCATCAGCTGTCATACACTGTATATTGACCAATAAATGTTTGACATTCCATAGAGGGGAAGTAAACTTTTGAGGGCAATTGTGGAACCAAAACAAAATTTCTCAACTTGTCAAATTATTTCGAAAGCAATGCTTGGATGGCAGGAATGGAGAAATCTCAATGAATCCAAATTATCAATACAGTCTTTGTAATTGCAGCTTCAAAGTGAATTTTGTTCATATATGCCAAACAAGCTATATTTCTACAGAAAATCTTTTTAGTCTGTCAAAAAGGAAGGAATTCAACAGTGAAGTTTTAGCTCAAAACATTCAGAAAGTTGAATTTGAGGTGGTAAAATAAGACAAGTATTGAAGTCTATAATTTTTGATCTGTGAGGTGGGTCCAAGATCAAAGCTCAGCTAGACAGAACGGCAATTGTTCTTGCCATGGCACAGGTATAAAGGCTGTGATTGACATGTCTGGAATACTGACCAATCAGGATTTTAACATTCATCTGGGGAATGTTAATAACATAAAAAACAATAGTATCCTTGTAGGCATTCCCTTCCCTCCTTCGTCGCGTGCCCTGCGCGCTTCTCACACACCCCAAATTCCCTTTCCCTTCCCTTTCAAATGCCTACCACGCAGGTTAGTGATGGAAGTTCAGCACCAAACCCATGTATATAATTATGCAAGCTGTAGCCATGTATGCTTTATTATGTGATTCTAGCCAGCTAGTGCATAAAACACAATTGTGAATAAACTCTTTCCCAATCCCCTCCTTGAGATATATTGTGGTACTCCGATCTAGGCTATGAAGACCCACAGGAAAGTGTTGTAAGGTGGTGCGTGATAGTGTGAGCAGGGCACAAAAATCCCGTCTAGTAGTCCGGACAAGGGGATTTTCTTGCCGGGCAAGTGGCTCTTGGCAAGAAACACATGAGAGCTGCTTTAATACCTGAAGGACAAGCTGGAATTCAAGTTTTTCCCAGCCCTGGTGTGAGTTGTTGTTTTTACTCTCTATTTTGCTAGGAACAATTTTTGCATATGGACAAACAGGAACAGGCAAAACATTTACCATGGAAGGAGTGCGGACAGTTCCAGAACTGCGCGGAATCATCCCAAACTCTTTTGCACATATATTTGGGCACATTGCAAAGATGGATGGCGACATAAGGTACCTAGTATTAGGCATTTATCATCATGGTTATCATTCATTTTCATTAATTTTTGTCAATTTACTTTACTTAGGGTGATTACTAAAAATAATAACTATTAGACGATGCTAAAATTTGCACACAACAGCACCTTCAAGCCTTTCCCTGTATTCCTATAAACAAAGGAACCAATGCAAGGTTTGGGGTGACATTTTAATACAGTGATTTGTATGAAATTGTCACCTTGAGCCTTGACCTTTGTTTTCTCACTGGAGTAGAAAATTGTGCTGAAAATGTCTATGTTATGGCTTGGAACAATGATACTGAGAATGAAAGATAACCTTTTTTCATACTTTGTGGTGTTTCTCCCTGATATGTTATCACCAACCCTAACATGCATGGCATGGCTATGTTAACAGCAGTTGTACAGCTGTAGGGCAGCTGTCAGAACGTCACTTTACAAACAGAGGTTTCTTTCTGGCATGGCGTTTAGCATTATTTTATGTTCAGTCATTTGCATCGCACCTCTGTGGCATACAGTGTACAGGTAGCTGGTTTCTCTCATCACATAATCAAACCAACTACGAAGCTGACAAGTGATGCAAACAACTTAGTAAATGCTAAAAGCCATGCCAGAAAGAAACCACTGCTCGCAGGGTATATGCAAAGTGAGAGGTCACAGATCAAATCCCAACTGAGGAAGAGCTTACTGCCTTTGTATATCTTGCAAATGGCTAGATCTTCGTGTCATATTACTTTTATATAATCATATTAAACCACATACCAATGGTGGTCCAAGGAGTGTTGAACAAAATGTTCAGCCTTTAGATACATCTGTTAAATCTTTGGGCCATTTACGTAAACAGAGCTCAGCCAGTGTTCAACAAAACCGCACTCTCAGCCATTTTACTTTACCCAATGCTCTATGTAAACAGCATTAATTTTATTGTGAACATTTTCATGATAGCACATGGCATAGACTAGAAAAGCACATATCTTCTTAAAATAACCCACTAAGTAAGAGATCTGGAGGTTCAAAGATTTGCTAAACCATGGTCTAAGTTAGACTTCATTTAAATAACTGACCTTGAGTTTTTCAGTTAGTACAGAGTTTTGGATTATGGTTAGTATCATTTTCTACTGTATCTCTTTGTGGTTTCTTACTTTTTTTAACTGTTTACTGCTTTTGTTAATTTTTGTTAGGTTTCTTGTCAGAGTGTCTTATTTAGAGATCTACAATGAAGATGTTCGTGACCTGCTTGGCAAGGATCAGAATGCTAAACTTGAGGTTTGTGAAGTCAAGAAATACATTGTAGCAGGCTGTGTTATACTGTACCAGCTGGGTTTTAAAGTGCCAGTGAAAAAAATAAGGAAATTAATTGCTGCTCTTATTTCAGTTCCATGGTTTCCCTTTATTAAAAACTATGTTGGAACTACTATACATTTTTTTGTTTTGTTGATTAAAAATTATTTTTTGTCATTTTTATGTTTAGGTAAAGGAGAGACCAGACATTGGTGTGTATGTGAAAGATTTGTCATCATATGTTATGAATAATGCTGATGATTTAGACAAGACAATGACACTGGGAAACAAAAATCGTGAGTTTGCTGATCTCTTTACTACTTGTCTGTGAGTTACGAAGACTCTAAGTTAAAAAATGACAAAAATTAATAGATCAAGAAAAAATTTGTAACTATACTGGTGTGCAAATTGAACCTCCACTTGCACCGCTGTACTCAAAACTCATTTAAAGTTCTGTTTGATTATAGGTTCTGTTGGATCTACAAACATGAATGAGAGATCGTCACGCTCTCATGCTATTTTTTCCATCACAGTTGAGTGCAGTGAGAAGGGTCCTGATGGCCAACATCATGTCAGAATGGGTAAACTACATCTGGTTGATTTGGCTGTAAGTTATTATAATGTCTCCTGTGCTACATGTATGTGATGCTGGTTGGTATCACTTTCATCAAACACAAGATAAGCAAAATTATCACTAAACTGTATTTGTACTACAGGGGTTTCATAAAAATTGAAGTAGCCAGCAGTTCTGAATAGAGTAACTGACTGTATCAGCAGTCCACATTTTCAAGGGGTGTCTGGGGGCATGCTCCCTCAAAAAATTTTAAAATTTCAAAGCCCTAGTAAGCAATTTCCAGTGTTTAGGGGACTAAACTGAGAATAAAAGAGCGAGTTTTCTATTCAAGAAGATCTGGGTTTTAGTCAAATTTTGATTTATAAGCCACACAATCAATTCCCACAAGCAATGAACAAATGACAATTATACTATAAGTTACATACTTTTCCACGTGAACAAAGTTTATTTTTGCCCATGGCCTTATTCAAACTAGTTGCTTCTTCTTCAGGGGAAAAAGTAGCCGACTTCTTTGAACAATGTAGCCGACGCGTTTCGTCAGTCGTTGGTGCTTATCGAAACACCTGGTACTAAGTTTGTGAGGGATATATCCACTAAGATATCCAGAAAACTGTTTTTAAATAACAATTATTCACCGAAGTGGAGGTGGCTAGTGATGGATATTTACCTCGCCGCTAACGCGGCTTCGGTAAATATCCATCACTAGCCACCGACACTGAGGTGAATAATTGTTTTAGTATATACTAAAACAGTGAGATAATTGAGCGCAAAAATGATGATTTTTAACTCATTTACTGTTGCCTGCAACGATTACAATTTTGGCGCGCAATGACCGAACGGCCGCTGTCGTCGCTTTTTNAGCATTTGCAGTGACAGCACTCCCTCACTCATGCAGCCCCCTTAGACCCCTCACCAAATCCACATAAGTTGTGTGTGCATAATCCTTTGGAACAGAGACAAAGCTGCCAGCACCATTTGTCCATTTGCTTGTAAACAATATTTTATTCGTAGCGTAAGATAATAATCACATCAGTGAAACACGTACAGGTTCTCATGCCATTTATTGCAAGTACATAAATTATGTTTGTTGAGAGAGAAATCTTACCTGTCATCTTAAATTTCACACCATTTGAGAATGTCATTATTCCTCTTTCTGCTTTTTCATTGGAACATCTATTGCAAAATCTTTGCAAATTTTGGCCTTTTTATCCCACCCTCCATTCCTTGTTTGATTCCTGCTGACAGAGTTAGCTAGACACATAAATGGCCAAAAGATAATAGTGCAGTTGAAATAATTATTATGCCTGCATTTTGTTTCACTGTCAATCTTGTTTGAAACAGGGATCAGAAAGACAAGCCAAGACTGGAGCTACAGGTCAAAGGTTGAAGGAAGCAACCAAAATCAACCTGTCCCTCTCCACCCTGGGAAATGTTATCTCTGCATTGGTAGATGGCAAAAGTACTCACATACCATACAGGAACTCTAAACTGACACGGTTACTGCAAGACTCACTCGGTGGTAACTCCAAGACCGTCATGGTATGTTTGGCTGATTATATGGTTTTGCTGTTTGTTTAATTTATTTATTTTGAAATATTGCACTTGAACCTTATTTCTTCAAGGGCTGATGTTTGATTTTCTTTGAATGCACAACTTATTGGTATTTTTTTCTACCGTGCTAAGTTTGAGGCACAGAGATCAAAAGTTGGATTGAAAATTTGTTTTGTTACTTCTCTAGATTGCAAACATTGGCCCAGCTGACTACAATTTCGATGAAACAATAAGTACCCTGAGGTATTAAAGTTAATTAATGTGTAGATTTGTCAGAATCACGTCTTTATAAAAACCTAAATGACAGATTGCCTGTACACCGCAAACAATAGTGACGCTCAGCTGTAAGTTCCATTTTTTGGTCATGGGACAATAGCCATCAATTAGTAATGGTATTACTTAGTAACTTAGTATGGAAAAGTCCCTAAAAATGTCCAATAGTTCTGGGAACTTAAAAGTTCCAGTAATGAAGTTTATCACCATAGCTATGAAGAAATGTTAAAATGTAAATAGGATCCTCTAGATCTGTAGGAAGAAGAAAAATATAAAAGTTGCTCGAAAGAGGTAACACCCTGTTTCTCTTAATTCTTGTTAGTTCCTTCTTTTTGCCATTGAGAAATTTCAGTCTTCACACTAAAACTGAATGATGTAGTTTTTGTATCTATTGTGTAGATATGCCAATCGTGCAAAGAATATAAAGAACAAGGCAAAGATCAATGAAGATCCAAAGGATGCCCTGCTGAGAGAATTCCAAAAAGAAATTGAAAAACTCAGGGCTCAGCTGGCTGAAGGTACAATGAATACCTTGTTTCTGTTGTCCTCCTCATACTAATTGCATCAACATGGGGAAAAAGGAGGTCTTGTTTGCTTGAACTGTCACGTAATTGAATGATTTAAATAAGGGAGATGGAGTAACTTTATGGCAAGGAGGGGTAGAATGACAGTAAGAAAAACTGGCCTATGGAGGGTGTGGGGAACACTTTTAAAGAACTGATAAGCAAATGAGGAAGAACATTCTCTTTCTCAGTCCAGTCCAAATGAGCCAGCAGCCAGCACTTTTGCCACTTCAAGTGGAATATTCTCTACCTACTCAGCACTTACAGTTGTGACATTACTAATATTAAATAAAAACCACACAAAGACAACCCTCCAAGTTACAACCATTTTGGTTCCCATAGCACCTAAAATTTTGGAGCTGGTGACTTGATTTGTAAAAAAGTCTCCCTAAACCAAAAGAGTTGGTTGCCAAATGGCAACCAAGTAAAAACTTTAACTTGGAGGGTTGACTTTTTGGCTTTTGTTGCCTGCTGCGCTGGTCATCCTGCCTACTATCGTAAAACATTTTGGCTGGGCAGCTTCCTTTACTCAAGCAAGAAATGTCTCAGAAAAGTCTCACATCGTGAATATGACCCAGCACCTTCTTAAGGCCCTGTAAGCCAGGGTAACATTCTGATTAGGGACATGGCCTTGAAATTTAGACTAGGGACATACTCACCCAGCCAGCAGCTGTGAGGGCCTCATTATGTAGAGGCTTCTTTTACATTACATGCTCTGGGAGCTAATGTCTGGTGATGCTGTTATCAGAGGGTGAGGGAAGTGGTACTGAAGAAAGTGAATCCGAGGAAGAGGTGGTAGAAGGAGGAGTCACAGTCAAAAGGAAGAAGAAGCACCGTAGAAAAAGTAAGTTGTAGTGAAACTAAGGTTATAAGTGACATCTCAAAAATAGGTCATTTGTACAATGGTGGCTTTTTACTGATGTCTACTACAACAGTCTATTTTGGTTTTTCCTTTCATTATTAAATTTGGTATTGTCCCAGGTACAATTTAAAAAAAGGAAGCAACACTCTAAAGGATTCTACTATTAATAGTTGAATGCTGTCATCATGCAAATGGCCCATTGCTTTGCAAAAGATGGCAAATAATTATGTCAATGTTATTTTTTACTTGCATGACTGTATTGCTTCCAGGGTTAGAGGAGTTATACATGTACAGTCAGCTAAAGAAATAATGTTTAACTAAATGTTTACAGTTCAGTGAACCTTGTTATATGGACTCATGAAATGATAATCATTATGTTTAAAGCAGTTGACAGAGAATAGAACTCTCACTTAGCTGCACTCTCACTTAAGCAGTGACTTCTCATTAGAATTTATCCTTTATGGAACCACTGAGTTTTGTAGGGCTTTTCCTTATGAAAACAGGGAATGTGATAAAATGTCAGCTAATTCTCCTTGCATTTGATACAAGGATCTTTCCAATTTTGCTTCTCCTGTAAGTTGGCTTTGATATGTAAAGATGGCTGGCCTGGGTCCTTAACAATCGGGCACCTAATTAAGCCTTAAAAGCTGTTTGCGCTACAAGGAAGTCTAGCTGCTGTCAGGGATGACCAAACAGGACTTTTTCTAGTCCTGCTAAAGGTATGGAATTTTTTCCTTCAGGCATGCATGCTCTCCCACCGGAGAAAGTAGCTGAGTTGAGAGCAAAGATAGAAGCTGAACGAGAGCAGTTAAAACAGAAGACAGATATGGCAGAGGAAGAGAGAAACAAGGCTGCTGATGAGTTGGAAAAAAGAGAACAAGACATCAAGGAATCTGAGTAGGAATCAATTCATTATAATGTTGCCTTATCAAAACATAAAACAAAAACCAAGTGTTTAATGCAGTTTTCAATAAAATTTAATATTGCTAATAGCCATTGGAGTAAAATTGCAATGGTCGTTTTTATGCTAGAGATGTTAAAGTTGTCTTAAGACAACATTAATGTGTATAAAAAAGGTTAATAAGCTGAGACAGATGCATAAGTTTTAACATCTGACAACATTAACGTCCCTTGTTAAGTGTGTCAGAACAACACACTTAACAGACAACATTAACATCTCAAACATTAAATGCGTATAGTATAAAGAAGGGATGATGTAAACTGGGACACATTTATGCCTAACTTGTTGAGAAATGATTGGAAAGAGTCAGAATTGTGTATTTTTTACAGAAAACTCTGTTTTTTACATTGCTACTGTCTACTTTGAGGCATCCTGTTTTTACAGATGTTAAATGTATCTAGACAACTTTAACATCTGTAGCATAAAAACAGCCAATAATAAGAAGTGGATCATCTACACCTAACAAAAATCAACACTTTAATTTTGATTACATTAAAATGCTAATCACATCAGCACTCTGACTGGCAGTGTAAAGTGCTAGTTATAAGCTTCAGTCTAAGTCTGCACTCAATACGTAAAACAAATTTACTTGGAAACTAAAGGAAAAAATCTTCTTTTGCTTATTTTTCTAAGACTGCTGTGGTTCTTACTCTTATTTAGAAAGGAACACCAAAAACTCCAAGATAAACTCAAGGCTGTTGAAAGCAAGATAATTGTTGGAGGAGAAAACTTGGTTTGTATCTTATAGTTTTTGTATGTTTGTTTGGTCTTTTTGTTGTTGTTTTGTGTGTGTGTTTCATCTCTGGCAACAATTTTGAATATTTTAGTACTGAAGACTAGTGGTAGATGTTTTAATTACTGTCAGTAGTAACTAATGTTACTTACTGTGTCTGTGGAAAGTCAAAATTTAATCTTTAACAGCCAGTGGATGCAGCATTTGAAACATAATTTGTATTAAGTTTGAGTACAAGGGGTTTTGGCTACACGTTCTCTCCTTGTTAGATCTCTGAAACTGAAAGGTTAATGAAATCTCTGACATCTCCCTGCATTTTCTTCTCATGTATGTGTTTCTAACTAGTTGGTACTTTTAAACAAAACTTACTAAACATCTCAAATTTTCCCACAACTGCTTGTTAAGAGCACACTCGCTGGCCAGCCTTCCATTCGTACTTGGGAAGGTACTTTTGTAAGTTTAGCAGCGCCACGTGATTACAGTAAGAGTCTGTGACTTTTAATATTGAAACTACATACATGTATTCTTACTTTGTGACTGCATTTTCTTGCCTGAAACAGTTGGAAAAAGCTGAGAAACAAGCTCTATTGTTAGAACAATCTGCTAAAGAACTCTCTGAGAGGCAAGAAAGGGAGAAACAACTGCAAAAGCTTATTGAAGAGAAAGAGGTATAAAGTGTGAAATTTTATCGTTAACAATGAATATTATAACATGTACATCTATTTGCGACTGCTGTTTTTAAGTGACTGTATGGGCTAAAAGTGCATATCTTTTATAAACAAATGCAGTTAATCCTCTCAACTTGATACACCTCAGAAAGAGGTTGGAATACTGACTGGTTTAAGAACCTCAATGTAGCTGATAAAGATACATTTGGAAAGGGTTTGAATGTGGTTATTAGTAACATTCAGTCTGTGGTGTTTTGATTTGGATAAAAAAAATCGCAGGAGAAGTGAACTACATAGTCCCATTATTAGTCAAATACATTGTGTAAAAATGGACAGGAATTACTGGTTTCTGTTTTTTGCAGCAAGAGAGGATTGACATAGAAGAGAAGTATGCCAGTCTGCAGGAAGAAGCTGCAGGAAAAACTAAGAAGCTTAAAAAAGTCTGGAGCATGCTCATGAGTGCCAAGTCAGAGGTGAGTGAGTCAGGGGAAGTACAACTTGTTCAGCAGTGAACAATAGTGGCTTTCTGAACTGAGGCCTGCAAACCCTGTTGAAACAAAGTCTATTCATTTTGCTACCTGTTATCTGATAACTTAAAAATTATTGTTTTTTATTATATAGACACGAGTGTTTTACTGGAAAATATACCACTCCTAAAATTCATAAAAACTACATCCGGGACCCGAGTGGTTTATTTTCCATAATCTCACACGTGAGTTTATCAATGACTTAATTTCGGTAATTTCCCTCTATTATTTTATCAATGTCTTTTTGTCCATAATTATAATAAAAAGAACATTACATGGCGGCTTGAAGATATGAATTTTATTTGCGAGTGGCAAAAACAATATTTTACTCACTCGCTGCGCTCGTTCGTAAAATATTGTTTTGCCACTCGAAAATAAAATTCATATCTTTGCGCCACTGTGTAATATCCTCTATCTAATACATGTATCTTAAAATTATCTGAAAGCACGCCAATATTTTCTGTAGCCATCTAGTAATTGCACTGTCTTGAAAATCACATTAGATGGCAGACCAACAGCAAGAGCACCAGCGTGAGACAGAAGGGCTGTTAGATAGCATCAGAGAGCTGCGTAAAGAACTGCAGTTGCAAACCTTGCTGATTGAGAGCTTCATTCCTCCTGAATTTCAGGTAAAATAATCCATTTTGTTTGTTTCCATAATAATTTGATGTTATCTTCATATTCTCTAGGTTAACAATCATTAATTTTAAAAAATATTGCAGTTAAACCTCCAAGCCTTCTAGTGATGCTATGAAGATTGTAATGTGATTTGGGGGTGTGGGTTGTAAATTACCTATTGAAATCTAGTTAAATAGATTGGATTTGTTTAATATTATCATATGCTATAAATTGGTTATCATATCTCTTGATATGGAAGAAAAGTGAGCCTAGGACTGATTGATAAAGACTTGATTCAGTGAGCACCAAAATTTGCTGCTCAGGTCAGTTTCTTGGATGTCCTGAGTTTGTTAATTGGTTCTATGAGCCCTTAATTGGCTTCCTCCTGATTAGCCTGCAGAACAGGTGCTTTTTTTGTGTGTCTTTTGGGCAAATGGATCACGTTTGCCTTGGCTCTCTTAAAAAACATGAAAAAAAAATGCATGTTCTGCTGGCTACCTCGTCCTAGTTTCTTTTTGTGAGGGAGGGGGGAGGTTTCTCAGGACTGGTAAATGCTTGAAATTTATCAATTTTTTTAAATTTCAATTTTGATGACAGGATTTGATAGAACAGCATGTGTCTTGGAATGAAGAGATAGGAGAGTGGCAGCTGGTGAGTGTTATTTCCATCTTTTGTAAAGAAGAAAGTTAACATAATTATAGAATGCAGAGGATGGCAATGTTAAGACTTCTGGATGATGACGATTGCAATTCTTCTTACAACCCCTTGTTTTGCGCAACTGCTTCCTCTAATAAAATTGAAGACCAATGCCCTTAGTATAAAATATGAAAATGGCAGTTCTCTGCAAATGGGTAAATTGGACTATAAAAAATTAATGAAACTACCCAAATGTAAGTCAATTGATTATAGTTTTTTTATCAGTCTTAGACAACTATTTATTAATTGTTTGCGACACAAACAAGTAAGGTAAGGACTGTAGCATTCGTATCAACATTGTTGGGCACCTCAATCAATATGGTAGATGAAAAGAACCTATAAGATACTGGGCAAGTTTAGTTTTGACTTTTTCTGGACATCCAACTTTCAATAATAGTGATCTAAGTTGCTAAAAATTATTATTACTGTATTGTCTTGTAGAGATTTGTGGCATATACAGGTAATAACATGAGGAAGCCATCTCCAAGCCCTGATCCAAAGGACAAGAACAAAGAGGTTTGTCTGATAAGCTGCACTGCTGAAAAAAAAATAGTGACAATTATGAGGCTGAGTATGATGTGAAGAATTATGCAGATCAAGGAGAATGTTATGACAGCCTCCGAGATCTGCATAATTCTTCACATCATACAAAAGCCAAATTCAATAATGTCAAAAATTATTCAAAACATTGCTGATTTCTTAACAAGCTTATGCCTCTTAGACTTTCTTCAAAACTTTGGCCTTTTTCTCAGCACAGTTTTAGGATATAAACAGACTTTTTTTGTGCAGATACCGGTACTCCTCATTAGTAGATAACATCCATCATTGATCAAGCAATATGTTTTGTGTATTCTTGCATTTCTTCCGTTCACTGCAATGACGAAACATTTTGAAAGAATAACGATAACAATTATTAAATGATGCATGTATCAGGTACCATATTTATTCGAATAAGCGCCCAACCTCGAATTAGCGCCCACCTCGAATAAGCGCCCATCCTAAAGGCAGAAAAAGTTAATAAGCGCCCAGCCTCAAATAAGCGCCCACCCCCTCTTCCTCCCAGTCAAACTCAAATAAGCGCTCACCCCCACCCCACCCACTTGAGTGAATAAATTCTAATAAGAGACTTCCCCGAGGATGGAGTCTTCTTCAGAGTATTTTACAGAAACCTTGCGTTGTTACTTCTTCGCGTTTTGTTATTAGCATATATTGTTTTGTTGCAAAATAAAAATACTTCACTTGCTAAAAATGGTGAAAATTTAATAAGCTCCCAACCTCGAATAAGCGTCCACCTCTAATAAGCGCCCACCCTCGAGGTCCAAAAATTTAATAAGCGCCCAGGGCGGTTAATCGAATAAATACGGTACGCATGAACTTATCTGCTAAATCTAAGTGGTCAGCTATTGAACGAAATATGTCTTTGTTAATCTGTTTACAGTTCAGTGAGGCAGACATATCCGGTGTTTATTTAAGCTATGAACAAGTTAACTACTCCATGGGGTATGATGAGCCAACTCCTACGAGGCCAAAGAGCAGTCGTCCAAAGTCATCAAGACCTAAGACAGCTGGGAGACCCAAGACGGGAAAGAAGTAAGTCATAATTTATTTTTATGTACAGAAATGCAGTTAGATAGGGATAGGCTAGCTTACACTGTTTTCATTGTTTGTAGTCAAAGATTATACAGTCCAACCTCCACAAACTGCCAACTCTCTTTACAATGGCCTCTTTTTTGTCCCGGCAGACGGTCCATACATAGACTCTGACTTGTTTAAACCTCCCTACAATGGTTGTGTCCCATTTATACTGCTGAATTAAGCATAAATTGTCTATGATACTTGAAGCCAATGTTGCAAACCGTGCTTGTTTTGTTACATTAACATTTTGTCAAGTTTTTTTGGTGTATTTTATCTGTTATTCTCCATACAGGCGTATTATATATGATTGGATTACAATTATATGACGTGCAGCAAGCATGAACTCAGCACAATAAACATGTTGTACTCCCTAAAAAAAATCATCATATTACACCCCTACCTCCCCATAACAGTAACCTGTCCACAACGGGCTCTTTCTTCTGTCCCAAGAGGGCCATTGTGAAGAGATTCAGCTGTATATATATATATATATATATTTTTTTTTTTTTTTTCTGTTGAAATTGTACACTCAGGTGTTATTAATATAGCTAAAGACAAACACTATTTGTGGCCACATCTCATTCAACTGTTGTTGTACTTATGCTGTAGAAAAAAGACGGAAGGTGAAGATGCAAGCAACAAAAGTAAAGAAGATGCTGAACAGTATCCACAGTCTAGAAGACTGTTAAGCCCAAAGAAACATTTTGCTTAATACCGGTCATTTAGCGCAAGTAATAATTATAATAAAAAGAACATTACATGGCGGCTTGAAGATATGAATTTTATTTGCGAGTGGCAAAAACAATATTTTACTCACTCGCTGCGCTCGTTCGTAAAATATTGTTTTGCCACTCGAAAATAAAATTCATATCTTTGCGCCACTGTGTAATATCCTCTATCTAATACATGTATCTTAAAATTATCTGAAAGCACGCCAATATTTTCTGTAGCCATCTAGTAATTGCACTGTCTTGAAAATCACATTAGATGGCAGACCAACAGCAAGAGCACCAGCGTGAGACAGAAGGGCTGTTAGATAGCATCAGAGAGCTGCGTAAAGAACTGCAGTTGCAAACCTTGCTGATTGAGAGCTTCATTCCTCCTGAATTTCAGGTAAAATAATCCATTTTGTTTGTTTCCATAATAATTTGATGTTATCTTCATATTCTCTAGGTTAACAATCATTAATTTTAAAAAATATTGCAGTTAAACCTCCAAGCCTTCTAGTGATGCTATGAAGATTGTAATGTGATTTGGGGGTGTGGGTTGTAAATTACCTATTGAAATCTAGTTAAATAGATTGGATTTGTTTAATATTATCATATGCTATAAATTGGTTATCATATCTCTTGATATGGAAGAAAAGTGAGCCTAGGACTGATTGATAAAGACTTGATTCAGTGAGCACCAAAATTTGCTGCTCAGGTCAGTTTCTTGGATGTCCTGAGTTTGTTAATTGGTTCTATGAGCCCTTAATTGGCTTCCTCCTGATTAGCCTGCAGAACAGGTGCTTTTTTTGTGTGTCTTTTGGGCAAATGGATCACGTTTGCCTTGGCTCTCTTAAAAAACATGAAAAAAAAATGCATGTTCTGCTGGCTACCTCGTCCTAGTTTCTTTTTGTGAGGGAGGGGGGAGGTTTCTCAGGACTGGTAAATGCTTGAAATTTATCAATTTTTTTAAATTTCAATTTTGATGACAGGATTTGATAGAACAGCATGTGTCTTGGAATGAAGAGATAGGAGAGTGGCAGCTGGTGAGTGTTATTTCCATCTTTTGTAAAGAAGAAAGTTAACATAATTATAGAATGCAGAGGATGGCAATGTTAAGACTTCTGGATGATGACGATTGCAATTCTTCTTACAACCCCTTGTTTTGCGCAACTGCTTCCTCTAATAAAATTGAAGACCAATGCCCTTAGTATAAAATATGAAAATGACAGTTCTCTGCAAATGGGTAAATTGGACTATAAAAAATTAATGAAACTACCCAAATGTAAGTCAATTGATTATAGTTTTTTTATCAGTCTTAGACAACTATTTATTAATTGTTTGCGACACAAACAAGTAAGGTAAGGACTGTAGCATTCGTATCAACATTGTTGGGCACCTCAATCAATATGGTAGATGAAAAGAACCTATAAGATACTGGGCAAGTTTAGTTTTGACTTTTTCTGGACATCCAACTTTCAATAATAGTGATCTAAGTTGCTAAAAATTATTATTACTGTATTGTCTTGTAGAGATTTGTGGCATATACAGGTAATAACATGAGGAAGCCATCTCCAAGCCCTGATCCAAAGGACAAGAACAAAGAGGTTTGTCTGATAAGCTGCACTGCTGAAAAAAAAATAGTGACAATTATGAGGCTGAGTATGATGTGAAGAATTATGCAGATCAAGGAGAATGTTATGACAGCCTCCGAGATCTGCATAATTCTTCACATCATACAAAAGCCAAATTCAATAATGTCAAAAATTATTCAAAACATTGCTGATTTCTTAACAAGCTTATGCCTCTTAGACTTTCTTCAAAACTTTGGCCTTTTTCTCAGCACAGTTTTAGGATATAAACAGACTTTTTTTGTGCAGATACCGGTACTCCTCATTAGTAGATAACATCCATCATTGATCAAGCAATATGTTTTGTGTATTCTTGCATTTCTTCCGTTCACTGCAATGACGAAACATTTTGAAAGAATAACGATAACAATTATTAAATGATGCATGTATCAGGTACCATATTTATTCGAATAAGCGCCCAACCTCGAATTAGCGCCCACCTCGAATAAGCGCCCATCCTAAAGGCAGAAAAAGTTAATAAGCGCCCAGCCTCAAATAAGCGCCCACCCCCTCTTCCTCCCAGTCAAACTCAAATAAGCGCTCACCCCCACCCCACCCACTTGAGTGAATAAATTCTAATAAGAGACTTCCCCGAGGATGGAGTCTTCTTCAGAGTATTTTACAGAAACCTTGCGTTGTTACTTCTTCGCGTTTTGTTATTAGCATATATTGTTTTGTTGCAAAATAAAAATACTTCACTTGCTAAAAATGGTGAAAATTTAATAAGCTCCCAACCTCGAATAAGCGTCCACCTCTAATAAGCGCCCACCCTCGAGGTCCAAAAATTTAATAAGCGCCCAGGGCGGTTAATCGAATAAATACGGTACGCATGAACTTATCTGCTAAATCTAAGTGGTCAGCTATTGAACGAAATATGTCTTTGTTAATCTGTTTACAGTTCAGTGAGGCAGACATATCCGGTGTTTATTTAAGCTATGAACAAGTTAACTACTCCATGGGGTATGATGAGCCAACTCCTACGAGGCCAAAGAGCAGTCGTCCAAAGTCATCAAGACCTAAGACAGCTGGGAGACCCAAGACGGGAAAGAAGTAAGTCATAATTTATTTTTATGTACAGAAATGCAGTTAGATAGGGATAGGCTAGCTTACACTGTTTTCATTGTTTGTAGTCAAAGATTATACAGTCCAACCTCCACAAACTGCCAACTCTCTTTACAATGGCCTCTTTTTTGTCCCGGCAGACAGTCCATACATAGACTCTGACTTGTTTAAACCTCCCTACAATGGTTGTGTCCCATTTATACTGCTGAATTAAGCATAAATTGTCTATGATACTTGAAGCCAATGTTGCAAACCGTGCTTGTTTTGTTACATTAACATTTTGTCAAGTTTTTTTGTGTATTTTATCTGTTATTCTCCATACAGGCGTATTATATATGATTGGATTACCATTATATGACGTGCAGCAAGCATGAACTCAGCACAATAAACATGTTGTACTCCCTAAAAAAAATCGTCATATTACACCCCTACCTCCCCATAACAGTAACCTCTCCACAACGGGCTCTTTCTTCTGTCCCAAGAGGGCCATTGTGAAGAGATTCAGCTGTATATATATATATATTTTTTTTTTTTTTTTTCTGTTGAAATTGTACACTCAGGTGTTATTAATATAGCTAAAGACAAACACTATTTGTGGCCACATCTCATTCAACTGTTGTTGTACTTATGCTGTAGAAAAAAGACGGAAGGTGAAGATGCAAGCAACAAAAGTAAAGAAGATGCTGAACAGTATCCACAGTCTAGAAGACTGTTAAGCCCAAAGAAACATTTTGCTTAATACCGGTCATTTAGCGCAAGTTGAACGTTTCAAGCATACACGTCTTATGAAGAAACATAATCATGGTATAAGGCTTGTCTAGATATTATAATATCATTAATAATTATTATTATTTACTAATGTAAGGTTGATGTGTTGTACAGTCATATGCCTCTTTTATAGTCCTATAGGCTCATGTTAGTGTACATTAAAATACAAAACAGCTCACATTGTGTTTTTCTCCAATTTTATTTTTTACACACATGCAACAATGTTGCATTTTGCTTCAATAGTCACAGAGTCCAAAGAATAACTGTCAAAGTTGAAACAATTCTCCCAAACATTGTGTTGTTTATGTTTGGTATTTTATTTATTTGAAAGATGATGAATTTGTACATAGTAATAAAAAATTAATTGAACAAAGTCTTGTTCAACCTTGAGTACATTATCCACATGGAGAGATGTTGTATTGAATAAAGTGAGGCACAAGTGTTGTGAATAAGTGTTTGCTCTGTTTTTTTTGCCTGCTTCTTGTTGCTAGTTTTGAGGGACTGCCAAAAGTGCTAGACACCACAGTTCAGGAAAGCCAAAACACAGCCCCACAGCAAAGTAACACCCAAATGCTCTCCTGAGGTGAACAAACTTCTGATTTATATTCACTTACTCAATAGTAAGATTTTTACATACATGGTTCATAGAACTTCAGACAAACAAATTTCAAGGACTTTCCAAGGATTTTTCAAGGACAATCACAGTTTTCAAGGACTAAGATTTATTTAATAAATCGGCATTCTTAACCCCCTTCAATCACCCTAATGGCTAAAACACATCATGGAGCCATTTAATGATTTTACCTCTTCGGCCCTCATTGATCATTATTTTATACTACTTTCCACAACAAGACTTTGCAAAATGACTGGGTATGACTTGTAAAAATTATAGCATCTGAGCATTTGAAGTAAAGAACCAGAAATATAATATCATTCATGCACAAAAATATTTTTACGCTACCCATGAGTTTTACAAGTTCTTACGCCGAGGATGAGCCAAATTTTTCTCGGCAAAATAATCTAATTTTACAGAAAATGGTGTCTGGCATAGACAAGGTTGTGAATTTCAAGGGCTTTACAAGGCCTAATAAAGAAATCAAGTACTTTTCAAGATCTTAAACCAAATTCAAGGACTTTTCAAGACAACTACTAAAATTCAAGACCTTTTCAAGGTTGTATGAACCATAAACATACATGCAGATGTTACACATGAAATACACTCATTGCAATAAAGTCATTATGCTGTACATCCTCTTGTAAGCCCCCGCCCACCCCCCTCCTTTTTCAGCAGAAAAAAGCTCTTCACAACCAAATTAAAAAATGATAGACTGTATGTTAATAAATCACGATTGTAAGAACACTTCATTTGGACAAATCTGGTATGGCTATCCCAACTTATCTTAGGAAAGATCGAAGCGACTCTGCTAGCAGGGTAAAAGCATTACACTCTGATCTGCAACCTTCAAATGGAAAGAGAGTTCGTAGTGCTAATAACTAGTCTGATATCTTTGTTGCCGATGTCTTTCTTAACATTTAACAACATCATTAACATTTGTCTCTTATGAACTTATATCACCAAGATAACCTGATTGGACATCATCTACAAAAAAATCTTCAGCTTTTTCATCAGCTGCTTCCCCATCACTGATTCTATCCCTAAAATAATTGTTTTCTTCAGTCTTTTCTGGTATTTGATCAAATATAATTTGCTCTTCAAATTGACAACTTTTGGCGATCTGAAAAGCTGCATCAAGACTTTCCTTAGCTTTTCCAAATTGCTGTTTTTTATAAAGTAACTCAGTGTGACAGACATGGAATTGGAACTTGGTTCTTTCAGACAGTTCTGGCAGATGACCTGCTATGCACTCCAGGTGCTTACTAGCAAGTGCTGTGTTATACTGCACAGTGTTTAAGGATGTAGCCTTTTGCTGAAGCAGCAAAGATGCTAGTCTGATGTACGAACAGCACTGCTTGTCCAAAACATTGTCGACTGTCAGGCCATTTGTAAATATGAGTGCAGCCTGTTCAAATTTGTGCATTGCTTCTGTGATCAACTTAAATGCAAACTTGGGCATTTTCTGGGCAAAATTTGTCAGGATAAGTCCTTCCTGAAAACACAGATCACCAACATCCTCACAAGCCTCCAGTGCCTGAAGCTTCTTTCTTGCGATTGCCAAACATTCCTCAGCATTTCCAAGGTAACCATCTTTTTGATGAACATACGACAGATACAAATAAGCTCTGCCCATTAACAATGTCTTGTTCTTACATTTGGCAGCGCTGTCAACTGCCTGTTTCAAAAGCTGTTTTGATGTCTCGTAAAGCTTTTTGCGACAGGCCTCCTGACTTTGCTCAAGAAAAAGCACCACCTTCAGGTCATTATCTGACATTTTTTCCAACATTTGTACAAAAAAATTGTCAAGCTCATTAAAATGAAGCTTCTGCCTCAAGTCTTTGAATTTTGAAACAATAGACTGGTATTCTTGGTTCAAATACAGAGATGGGAAAATCTTTGCTGTATCTATGACACTGTTTCTGTCTGAAGCCGCAGATCTAGAAGGAGATATTACATGGGTAGAAATTTCCACTTCTTCACGGGCAAAGATACCACCATCTTCATAAAAGGAATCTGTGAAATCTGATCCCTTTCCAAAGAACGTTTTCACAAACAGCAAATCAATCTTTAGAGCAATAGTTATGCGAAATATCACACCTTGTTCAAAAAATCGAAACCAAAATCCCAGACAATTCTTAGCTAAACCCTTTTTGTGAGCTGAAAGGGTGCTATAACAATAACAGTCTTCTGCTTGATCGTTTGTAGTCAATTGCTTTCCTTCTAAAGAAAATCTTTTGATTGACGGAACGTGTAAAATGTATTTCAAACCATCACAGACATGTTGGTCTTTATCTTCGTGATTTTCGTAGCATACCGGTAAACACAACTTGCCATTACGACTGCTGACTTTCAAAGTGAGGTAGCAATCTTTCTTTGGATCGGGAAATTTGAATCTTGATTTTCGAGCAGAGACAGGTCTTGAAGGTCTAGAAATGATATGAATGCCGGGCGTTTCAGCCTTTGCCTGTTCTAACAGCTTTTTAACAGCTGACTTAGTTCGAAACAAAGATGCAGGGTCGTCCGTTAAGCTATCCTTCCACGACATTTCTCTTGCATTCTAGAAATGCAAAATGCGTGTTTCATCGACAAACAGAGACAAACAAAGGAACTGTCACATTTTTTCGATCAAACAAAAATCAAACAAAACGCCCGCCATTATGCTCGGCTTCCCACAATGCACCATTAAAGCTAGGCTACAAAGCGTTACCAGTCTTTTCCAAGGCCAGGCTACAAAGCAGCGTGACCTTAACAAAACATGGCGACTCAAGTTTGCGGCGATATTTCAGAAGCGACAGAGCTTTCGTCCACACAACGGTTGTACCTTAAACCCGTGGCAAAACTTGGTGTACATGTCACTTTACCAGAAATCAAGGTTGCTGGTGTATCTATATCTAACTGGGAGGTAATGGAGAGGTTAAAATCTATGGTAGCACCAGACCAGTTCACGGTTCTAAAGGTGGTCGAGTCTTCTTTGGAGTTCATTCGCTTTGAAGGTGAAACAGACACCAAAAGTCTAGTCGCAAAATTCATCAACAAATTGGACGGGAAGTTTATAAAATTAAGTGGCTTTGCGGACCCACTTAAGGTACGAGCAACGGAATCCAAGATGAAATTTCCTACCGTTCACGATTGGAACTCTTTTTTCAGAGAATCTGAAGATTTGGACGAACGTAATCCGGGCGAAAGACCTGATACTTTTTACATTAAAGGATTGCCTTGTAAATGGTTTTCAAGTGACGAATCTCCCAGCAAACCAAGCGACGAAGTTTTGAAATCTGTCTTTCGTCGTTTTGGGAAAATCCGATGTGTTGATATACCAATTTTGGACCCTTACAGACAACGGCTGTCAAAGGGCAACAGTGAATTTCAAACGTTTTATTTTGGATCTCATCTGCATTTTGATGCTTATGTCCAGTACAGTCAATATCAGGGTTTTTCAAATGCCATGTCAGCTTTGAAGGGTATGAAATTGATGTATATTTCTGACGAAGGTCGGGCTGCCACTGCCAATATTCAAGTTGAATTTGACAAAACTTGCCATCTGTCTGCGAGGAATATCAAAAGAAGGGAACTAGAACGACAAAAACTGATTGATATAGAAAGAAAAGAAGAAGAAAGAAAAAGAAAAGAAAAGGAAGAAGAAGAGAGAAGAATAGAGGAAAAGCGCTTGGAGGAAGAGAGGAGAGAGGCTAAACGCCAGCGACTGCTCCAGGAAGCCATAAGAAAAAAGGAAGAGAGGAAGAGGGCTCGGGAAGAAAAGAAGCGAAAGAAACGAGCTGAAAGGATCAGGAGGGAGATTGAACGGAAAGAACAGCAAAGACAGTTAGAAAGGGAGAGGGAAAGGAAGAAAGCTGAGCAGAAAAGAAGTGCTAAAAGGCTTTTGTTAGAACTTCTTCAGCGTGTTGCTACAGTCAAAGAACAAGAAGAAGAGGAGAGGAGGAAAATAGAAGAAGAACGAAAGAAAAGGGAGCAGGAATTAGAAATGCTGAAACAAATCGAAGAGAAAAAGAGGAAACTCGAAGAGGAACAAAGAAGGAAGGAAGATGAAGAAAGAAGAAAGAAGGAGAAACTGGAAGAACAAGAAAAAGAACTTCGTGACAAATTGATTAAAAATCTGAAAAGAATGGAAGAAAGAAGAGACGAACTCAAAAAAGAACTTTTGAAAAGACAGATTGCAAGCAGTACTGCCAAACTAACATCTTTTGCTGGAAATGACTTCTTTGGAAAATAAAATAATGTGTGCCAATCTTTGAGTTTCTGCTTGTCCTTGATAAACGTAGGCAGTTATTAACAGAGCCTACCGGGTATTCATAATCGAATGACAATAAGTTTCACACTAATACATCAAGGGCGTGTTTTGACAGATTTCTGAAAGTGATTTCTTAAAAGCATTTACCACTTGCCATTATCACTAGCCTTGCTTCTGCTGTTACACAATAGTGCCCCCTACCTATGCACTTATGAAACCAGAGTTTTTTTTAACTCAATGAATGAATAATTGCTTGGGGAATTCTAACATACCTGGTACTTGGAGTTTACAAGGAAATAATGTGTAACAGCCTGGAAGACCACCCGTCATCCCCCTTATCGAAATCTGCAGTTACACCCTCAGAAGTTATTTCACCAGCTTGTAAGCATTGTGTGTTTTGCACTGATTTTGAGTATTTTCTAATATACTGATGCTCCTCTCAAATCACCTTGTGCTTGCTTGGAAATAGAAGGAGAATTTGGCATTAAATCAAGATTCACTTGGGACCTTAGTGCATTTTCCATTGATTCTAACCTCCATGAAGACCGATTAGCACAAATCCGGGTTTAGTCACCCCCAGGTGAACCCAATTACCCTGATTACAGTTAACTCAGGTTTAGTGTTAAGTACAAATCCAAGATACGTTACCATAGCAACCCTATGCTCTAACTACAGTTAACTGAGGATAAGTGCTAAACCACCTACCAACAACTTAGTCTCCCTCACAGCTGCTTATAGGAGAGGAGCATTGCCTGACGACACTAAAAACAGCTGAAAGGGAGGCTACCAACAACTCACCCTCTAGGAAATATTCATTGCAGTATATTACTAATAATAAACAAAGGTTACAAAGTGCGGGCAACAACGATTGCTTTTGCACCATCGCTGTGCTTTGTGTAAGTTTCACATGACAGATAGTCAAAACACATGATCAGAATACAAGTGATAGAAGGTCCAAACGAACATGATCAAAGTTTGTTCTTTGCATTCCTTACATTCTTAGTGGAAGTCCAAATGAATGCTGACTACATGAATGTGATGCATGCGTAATAATAACCTGGGCCCAGTTGTTCGAAGGCCGATTAGCGCTTAACTCAAGGTTAAATTTAACCTGGGTTTCTTTTTCTTGTGTTTAAAAGAATTTTCTCGGATAATTTACTCTGTTACTTTTAAAGCCTTCAATAATCAACTTGTCGACAAAAATAGTTAAAACGGAAATGATTTTTAAGCTTTCATATCTGAATTCAAATCTCGCACTAACCCTGGGTTATCTTAACCCAGCTTTGAACAACTCGGCCCTGAAGATTAGGATTGAGGGCTCCTCTTCTCGCACGCAACAACATAAAAAAAAATGGTTATTCTGTGCAGCTCCTGTGATTTCCCTTCACAAGAAAAAACCTTGCTCTCATAAACAGTCAGGGGTTTCAATAAAAGCTGAAGTAGCCAGCAGGTTTGAATAGAGTATCAACAAGGAGCTGTTGGTGCCCTTTTTCTGGGGGGGAGGGAAGGGGTCTGGGCATGTTCTAGCCCGGAAAATTTTGAAATTTCAAAGCCCTAAAAGAAAAAAAATGCGACTTTCAGCATTCTGGGGAATAAATTTGAGGACAACAGAGTGTGTTTTTCATTCTAAAAAAATGTAGCTCTCAATTTATCAGTCACACAATCAATTCCTACAAGCACGTAAACAAATTCTGCGTTAACCTAATTCAAGAAACCTGTGAAAAAATGACTGAAATAGAAAACCAGTGAAATCATGAAAACATTATGAAAACACATCAAAATTACCTTTTCATTCAGATTTCATGATATATGTTTTGTTTACAACATTATTCAAACAATTCTTTCGAGAAAAAAGTCGTCGACCTCTGTGAGCAAGGTAGCCGATGTATTTCGTCGGCCATCAGTGCTTAATGAAACTCCTGAACAGTGCTTAAGTTTTGTCAGGAGCCCATAACTTGCGGCAAGCAACTCCCATACTAGGGGTAGTCTTAAGTTTGGCTACGGAAAGAAAGATGGCGAGGGAAAAAATACAAAAATAATACAACTTGTTTAGAAAAAATTTGCATGATGGTTCCCTTAAAACCAACTGATCTGTTACTACAAGCTGGTAGGGAAAAAAAATAAACGAGAGTGAGCATTATAATATTATAACAGAAAAAAAAAGGACACATAATCATAGTTGATAGAGTGGAATGGTTATGAAGCCCATTAGCCTCCTTTGTTGTATGTTTTGTGGACTTGAAGGTGCACAACGTTCAATGGCTGACTTTACACTAGGCTGTTAAGTAAGACTTAGGAGCTGCTAAGTTTACTTAACCGAAAATTCATGTGTGAAGGGCTAAGTAAAATCTCAAGTAACTTTACTTTGCATCTCATTAAAGTCGGAAAGTTGAAACGATTCAAGAAATTTTCAAGCGATTTGAAAACCATCCTTAAAACTGACTTAGCTGGCTTGTGGTTACTTGCGGTTTCTTGAGGTTTGAGAAAGGCAAAACACACCAATCAATCGTAATTATGTTGCGTGGGAAGATAGCCTTAAGTTAACCTGAAGAAAAAAAAATTGGTTGTGTATGGAGCTTTATTTTACTTGAAGTAATTAAAATTTACTTGTCCTGAAATATTTCTCAGCTAATTTAGGCTCTAGTATAAAGACTACCAATAGCATTCCTACCATTTTGATCTTATTGACCAACAAAAACTTTGCATTAATTATTATCACATCACAATTTGCTGAACAGAAAACAAAGGACTGTGCACCATCAGGGAGATTCCAACACAAACTGGAGCACTGTTGTTTTTATTTTTGATGTTTGGTGCCTTTCAGACTAATCTCCACTACTACGACAAAAGAAGATGAAGGAAAACACAGTTTCTGAGACTTCATAAAATAACATTTTTATCATTCTTCGTTTTTCCAACATTTGTCAAGTCTAACTTCTACACAATCAATCCACTGTAAGTTTACATGAAGTTTAAAAAATAATGGAAATAATTCTTTACAGTACTTCCATTACAACTAATAAAACATTCAAGTCTCTTAAAAGAAAACCTGGATGGCTATGATAGTTTTTACAGTCTTAATGGTCAAACCAAGCAGTAAAGGGTTTAAATTATTCATTACTAGGTTTGAACAAAAATTCTGGAGAGTGAATAAATGACAAGATGTCCTGGAAAAGTTTTGAAGAGAATCTGAAAGAGAACCATTCAAAGTTGACTGTAACCTGTGTCACAGATGTTATAATAATTTTGTAATGTAAGGCCAGTTAGTAATACGTCTACAAAGCAGTGCCAAGATCATTGTTCTGGGCCTATATAGTAAGGACTCAACAAATAATAAACTGGAAGTCCTTTAAATCTGATTGGCAAATCAACAATGGCTTTTTCAACAGACCAATCATGGAACATACTTAAATCCTGGTACACAGGTGGGAGTCCAGAAAGAAAATTTTGGCGCTGGCTCACTCTCTAAAGCAAAGATAATTCTCTTTCTGAAGATGCACTCTTCCTGTGAGTATATGACTCTGAAGTACCCTGTAAGGGAACCCCAAGGACAGTCTCCTGAGTTAATCACACTGTTAGTTGTCTCACATGTAATGAGAGTTTATCAAATAATTATGACAAAGTCACGATCACAAGGCATCAGAAATGTTGAACGCCTGAAACAAGGTTGCATAGACCTTTTTCTGAAGAAAGTAAAAACATTCAAAAGTGGTTAACGATTATTGATGACAAAATAATTCTCAAACCTGACTTTTTCCAAGATCAATAAATAATTATTATTTTCAATAATAAATGGGTAGTAGATCAGTACTTAATTATTTTGCTTTCAGTCTGCCATATTCACCTAACTTCTACAAAGGGAACTTCTGAATATTTTTACATAACACTGAAAAACTTACTGATAATAATTTTTTTATATAATCAATGTACAAAAGAAACCAACATTTAGAGGGTCCTTCAATCAGTCTGCAGTCTCCTTTGCAGCTGCCCAGGCCAGGCCTTGGGCTCACCATCTACACAGCCCTACTCAATCTGATGAAAACACAGGTAATAATATTACAATTCCTGTTGTTTTAGGGGAAAAAATCCAAACCATAAAGGATGTAAGCCAGAATGAATAAATTTTCAGTGAGGTTTTGAAAACCATTCTATAGACAACTGGAGATTGTGTGTTATTAGATTTAAAAACCACTTAGCTATGCCTGGTGATTAAAATTAAGTGAAACCTCGAGATAAAGGAGGGCTAATGGACTGGCAAAAAGTGTTTTCTATAACAAGACTTTGTTATTTATCACGTTTATGTTCCTTACATTTTACTATTACTGTGGCAAAGAATATTGTTAATGATAACAAGGACTTTGTTATATAGAGGTTTATTATATTGAGGTTCCACTGTATTAACATAACATGCACAGTTGCGTCTGCAGAGGATGACCACATCAATAATAAAGTTCATTAAGAAGTATTATTATTCATTCAAAATATTTCCCCAATTCTGATTGGCTAAAAGCACATGCATAATTCACCATAACCAGTTACTGATGACCAAATTTGGAAGAATTTTGTGTTTAACGAGGAAATGACGTCAAAAATGCAGCCCGCTACAGGCTAAGGCACCATTAACCGAAAAAACCTGGGGACGAGATTGATTGGCGGACACTTCACTCGTTTCAAGAGTAAGAACTGCAGCTGGAACTAGGCGAAATAATGGCTAAAAACATAGCAAAAACAGCAAGAAGACAACTCAGAGGGCAACATCTGCTGTTTGGAGAATATTTACAGAGCTGGCCAAACCTAAACATAAACTATCGAAGATAAACTTAACATCGATGCAGGTAAGCTTGTTTTAGCTGTGTTTTTAAACTAGGAATTATTTTGAATGAATAATAAAACAATTATTGAATTCGACTTCCGTATCATATGAAGAATTATGAAGATCTCAGAGGGTGTTATCTGCCTCAGCCTATGGCCTTGACAGATAACACCCTCCTCGATCCCCATAATATTCTTCATAAGATACTCAGCCTCATTCATTAATTGTTAAAATTGTGATGAGTGGATAAAATATTACTGGACTTAACTTATATTAAATGTTTTTTGTTCTTTTCAAGGAAAATTACCCATAAATCTCTGACTTTAATCACAACCTAGTGTAAATTTAAAGATGTAAACACTGCATCAAATTTTGGTTAACTTATGTCTTCAGTTTTAACTTCGACTGTCGTTTAATGCCTTCACCAAGTACTTACATTTCAAAGGAAATCACTAAGGTAATAACATGTTCCCAAGTAAATAATGCCCACAAATAAGACCGAAACAAAAGTATGAGAGTTAATGAGAATTCAAAGTTTGTGTTTGGGAAGCAATAAGACGTACACTACTACATCAACATATCTGTTAGAAACTAAAGCATTCAAAATCCTACTCAGCTTAAACAAGTCCAAACTTATTATTTCCAGGGGCTGGATATTGCTCTCTGTCCACCAAAAGCATTCCTTTTTTATAACCCTGAAGTTATTGCTCTTTCTTTCCTCCTTTTCCATCTTCCTCTTCAGTTTCTGATTCATCGTAATATTGTTGATGTTTCTCACCAGGCTTTAACAGTCTTCCAACCATGTCATATTTTTCCATAAACTGTGTCTCCCATTCATGCAGAGAATCCAGTTGCATGCTGTTTAAGTCTGACAGATCATCATGTTCTGTTTTCACGGCATCAGGTCCAACATCAAACGTAGCAAGACCTCGGCTAGCATCATGTCCCGCAAACACGTTGTAAGGCCCACCTGAATGGAAAAACTTGACTGTTAATAATAAAAACCACAGGAGTGGTTTGGGAAGCAAAGACCTCAAAACCTCTTAAACCTCAAAAAGCCATGTGCTACATAATTTTAAAAATGGGATATAAAATCAAAAGCCAGCCCCGGAGCAGCTGCATAGTTGACAGCACTGATGTGCAAAAACATGTTTATCAAAACACGCTATACCTTTTGGCTTAATCTGGGTCCATATTGATAAACATTTGTTATTTTTTCAAGGCAATGGCTGAACGAAAGAAGATTTTAGTCTGGGCATGTAACAGGCAGCCCAGTAAACTAATGTATCCACTACAGACGAAACGCAACACCTCAAACCATAGTCATGGAGAGGCCCTTTTAAGGGTGTTTCGGTCAAAGTCTGAATCTCTTCTACTGTGAAGACCCTGTAGTTATTTCAGCATCACTTTTGCAGCCGTGTACTTTGATTTCACAGTTTTAATCCAACATCGTACGCTTACGTTTAAAAAGTGAACTATTTACAATGCTTAAAAATATATATAAGAAATGCAATTCAGTTAGATGTTCACCGGCGAAGCCAAGACAATGCTCTACTTGCAGTGAAGGAGCGGAATAGACCGGCAGGTGAACTACTCAAATCCTGAGTGCATGGGTGTTTAATACAAACGTGTTTCATAGGCCATCAAAGAGGTGACCCACTCAGTTAGACTCTATTATAACACTGAAGCAATGGGGTCTACATCAACAATATGATCATGTGGCGAAAATGGTTGCATATGAAGTTTGAAATTTAAAAAAAAATTCCCCAACACATTTTTGCTGCTTACATATTAAAGTAACAAATCTTGAAAATTCTAGGTCACTCAAACAAATTCCGAGTTATAGCTTAGTGGCGAAAATGGTTGCATATGAAGTTTGAAATTTAAAAAAAAATTCCCCAACACATTTTTGCTGCTTACATATTAAAGTAACAAATCTTGAAAATTCTAGGTCACTCAAACAAATTCCGAGTTATAGCTTCTCAAAGTGTCCCCCTTTGAGTGGAAAGAATAAAAAATCAAAAATCTATATTTTAACGAAATTAATCATCTGAAAGTATCCGGTAACCTTAAGAAGACAAAGGTTTTTATTACAAGACTGGGGTTCATGGCATAAAATGCAGTACTTCTAACTCTAGGACCTCTTTTTGCAGGAGAAAAGAAAATAGGAGATAAGTGAAATCTATTCAGTTCCTTTGAAAACAAAGGAAGCATGCTTGAGTCACATGCTTGACATATTTGAATAACAATGAACTGATACACAGGTTGAGGACCGTTATAATTAATGGCGCCAATTTTAATTTGTTCTAAGTACTTGTAAGCAAAAAATATACAAAGAAGGATATGAAGAACTGCTGGTGTATGAACAATTGTCACTGAAAAACTTTGATAAGGCCAAGATGACGACGTAGAGATGCCCCAGTGTACTGGTAAGTTTCATGAAACTCGTACTTACACAAGCGAGAAATTACACTCTTTATCGCCATATGGCCAAGAAATGTATTCAGACATTCGATCAACTACTCTAAACTATTATGCACCATTCTGTGGTGAGTTATATAGAACGATTGACGCAGAAATGCGGCCAAAATTAAGGCTAAGCTAATACCTAATCGATCCTGAACAAATCTGACAAGGGTAAATCAAGGAGCATGAAATCTACATCGACTTTCATTGTAACCCTTAAAATCTAGCCATATTGCTCTAACAATGACATCCGTCGATAAACTTACCTGGACCATAGAAGTCTTTTCCACGTGTTACATCAAAAACCTTAAAGTTAACGGCAAGAAGGACTCGCTTCTGCTTCACGCCATCGTACTCTAGCAACTCAAAAGGAGTGAAGTCGCGTTTCTTCATAGGCTCAAGAGGCTTTTCTCGAGGAGGAGGAGGAGGTTTTCGAAATCTTGACTGCACAATCTTTCGAATAATATATACTATAATTAGCAGTCCAAGAATTTGAACGGGAGAGGAAAGAGATTTAATAAAATTTACGACAGGGGATAATGCGGTGTCGAGGCCCATTTTGTGTAAAATTTACAACATAGCGCGTCAGTACAATGATTGCAAGGAGTTATGGGTAATCTAGGTCACATGCTCTTTCGCTTGTTTCAACATGTGATGTTTTGAAGATGTTTTGGCATTTGGCCCACGGTCGTTTTCCGCTACCCCCCCCCCCCCCCCCCCCCCCCCCCCCGCCTTCACCTACCCCCCCCCCCCCCCCCCCCCCCCTCCCCCCCCCCCCCTGCCTCACCCCACCCACCCGGCCGGGCGCCACAATCGCAGACCTGATCAACACTGGACAGGTCAAGATAAATCCATTTAGTGAAGTACACAGTACAATC